ATATTTACCGGTGATTGTGATTTTTGAAGAATTATACATCCAACCATTAAATTTTATAGATACTTAATAATTGATTTTTTTGGAACATATAATGTCATAAAAATTTATATAATATTTTGCCAAAAAAGTTGTAAGGACTTATAGAGAGAAAATAGTATTAATATAGATTATTTTTAATACCAATTTTTTATTAGAAAAATATATATTATGTCAATATTCATATAAATATTATATTGCTTCTTAATTAGATTTGTCTAATATGTTGATTTTAATAAAAAATTATACATTTTTGTGCTAAGAAAAATCGCGACCTATAACTTGAAAAATCATTTTTTAAATTTTCAAAAGCTCTAAAAAATCTAATGTTTTTGAGATGGATATGTTAGACTTTTGTTGGATTGTTACTTCTGTATATTACTAGTATATGTCTATTTTATTTAATTACTCTTCACAGTAATCCATTACCCTCTCCTTCCCTCTGAAACTGCGAATTCCTTTTTTTGAATACTCTTCTTCACTCGGTCTCGTCTCGTCTACTGCTATGGCAGAACCATCCACCGCCGAAACCACCTCCGCCAGCGATGCTCATCCGCCGGCGCCAGCTTCCTCGTCGCTCAACGTCCTCGGATTAACGATTGACGAGAACAAGAAGCCTTCTCCCAAGTTCTTGGACGAGCCTGAAGACTCCAACATCCAAGCGGTTGGTTTGATCCCCATTCCCGATTTCTCTTTTCTCTCGGCGAGAAATTGACGGTTTATGGTTTTGAATTTATGTGCAGGTTTCGTCCGGCGACACACCGTACACGTCAGCTACCACCTTCGAAGAACTGAATCTCTCACCGGAGCTTTTGAACGGACTCTACGTGGAGATGAAGTTCCATAAACCTAGTAAGATCCAAGCCGTAACCTTGCCTATGATCTTGAATCCTCCGAATAGGGATTTGGTCGCACACGCGCATAACGGTTCCGGAAAAACCACGTGTTTCCTTCTTGGTATGCTTAGTCGAGTTGATCCAAAGTTGCAGGCTCCTCAAGCTTTCTGCATTTGCCCAACCAGGGAGTTGGCTATTCAGGTAAGGTTCTAAGACATTTCTTTTTTAAATCGACATATAATCTTATTCTTTCATGGATTAAATAACCCATAACTATGGTTGGAAGAGCATTACTTTGGAGTCAGATTCTGTTCAAGCTTTAAGCTATCTTACCAAGTAATCTTGCTTGATCCTGCTTGATAATCTTATTCTACCATATAATCCTGCTTGATCTTGGACAAGTCCCAGCTGATGTTTAGTTACTACTGTTCGATCTGCTATGGCTAACAGTAGTGCCTTTTACGCTTTCTGTTTTTTGCTGTCTTTGTAGTTTGCTTTTAGGTTCTGTTTTTGTCTTGTGGGGCTATGCCCCATGTAATTACCAAAAATAAAATAAAAAAATAACCCATAACTAAGAATGCAATAGCTGGTGGCCCCATACTTCCGGAAGAAAAGCTATATCCCTCCAAAGGGATATCTGATCGTGAGCCCTAGAAGTTTTTATTTTTTCTTCTTTTTTTTTGGAAAAGCTCAGCAATGCCCTGCGTGGTTTACTAGAATCACCTATATCCCGTTGTTTTTTTATCACATATGTCTATTTGCAAAAAGTTATGTTTTTTATCACACATGCAGCTGTAATTTTTTTTCACAAACCACATGGGTATATGTGATAAAAAAAAAATCACAAGGCATAGGTAATTCTAAAACAAACCATTTACTACAAAATCACCTATGCCTTTGATTATTTTTTATCACTCGTGTGGTTTGCGAAAGTATATGTTTTTTTATCTGCTCCCGTGATTTTTTACTTTTACAAACCATGGAACATATGTCATAGGTGATTCTAAAGCAAACCAGCTTCAGTGAACTTTCCTATTTGTTTTTTTTTTATTCGTTTGTTAATCACTGTTATCGAACTTTTCCTCGTGATTTTTTTATTTTTTACAAATCAATGGGACATATGTGATAAAAAAACATTGGGCCATAGATGATTCTAAAACAAACCGGCATTGGTGAACTTTCCTTTTTTTTTATTCGTTTGTTAATCACTGTTTAATCCATGCTTGTTCCAAATCAGGAGATGTGAAGAGGGCATAACAGTTACTAAATGAGATGGAAGCAAAGGGTGCGCTTCCTGACATTTTTACATATAATACTTTGATATCATTATATTGCAAGAAAGGTATGCACTATGAGGCTTTGTCCATCCAGGACAAAATGGAAAAAGAGGGGATAAATCTTGATATAGTTAGTTATAATTCTCTTATTTATGGATTTTGCAGAGAAGGTAGGATGAGAGAAGCTATGAGGATGTTTAGTGAAATTAAAAGTGCAGCTCCCAATCACGTGACATATACTACGTTGATTGATGGTTATTGTAAAACGAATGAACTGGAGCAAGCTTTGAAAATGCGTGAGCTGATGGAGGCTAAGGGATTGTACCCTAGAGTTGTTACTTATAATTCAATTTTGCGCAAGCTGTGTCAAGATGGCAGGATAAAAGATGCAAACAAGCTTTTGAATGAGATGAGTGAAAGAAAAGTTCAAGCTTGAGAGAATATACATTACTCAGCAAATGTTTTCAAAAAAATTGTTCCTGAAAGTTTGCGTAAGTTTCTGTATTCCTCTATTCATGTGTGAGTCTGCTATGGCTCAAATTGTATACAGTTAGCAAGAAATAGAGAAAGAAAATGTTAAAAATATCATTTGAATTATATTTTTTATTTATGCCTGCATAGATATTGGACGTTTTTCATTACTATTGGATGAGAGTTTGGGATGGCATTGGCTTCAAATGAAAAGCAAGGATAAGAGAACAAATACTGCAAGTGTGGACATGAAATGGTATAACCTTGATAGACTGCAAAGGAGGTGAAGTTTGCTAGTAAGCGCAATGCAAAGATCTCTTGGGTATACTTTGCTATTGGATGAGAACATATATTTTTTATTTATGTTTCTTTATTGAAAAGGGAAAGAATCGAAATATGCATTTTTTATACCCAACGAAAAGTTGCAAAGTTTTTTTTTTTCACTCAGGGTATACTTTACTAATATTCACTCAAGTAAACAAAAAAAACATATTAGTATATCACGAAATAAAATTGGTTTGTCATGTAAAAAAAATAAAATTAGATATTTTTTCAGTAGTTACGTTCTTTTTTTTTTTTGGTAATCAGTAGTTACAGTCTTTGTTTTGAAGAATTATACATCCAACTCATTAAATTTATCTATATCTTATATATATATATATACATATATATATATATATATATAATAAATTTAAATTTAATATATTGTGATTTTTGAAGAATTATACATCCAACCATTAGATTTTATAGATACTTAATAATTGATTTTTTTGGAACATATAATGTCAGAAAATTTATATAAACTGAACTAATGTTAAATATATTCTAAATTAAATAGAATTGCATAAGATATGCAATTTTTTTTTATTTCTCCAACATTTGAGACGAAATGTCCAAAGATCTGAGACAGCGTATTATACAGTGGAAGTAGTTGAGATTTGCCACTATTTATATTTTTGTCAAATGGAAAAAAGTGAGTGGTCAAAAGAAGGATTTTGTTTCGGTGGGAAATGCAAAAAATGGAATTTGCAGTCCGCTTACCCTTCATCCTGAAAAAATGCAAGAAAAATCTTGGATTTTGAATTTTCATCATGGATTTAAGGCATATTAAAAGATTAAATGTTTCTCTTGTTATGGGAGATAAATTTATTTTTTATACACATATAAAAGTATATAAAATCCATGTGGATTCATATAAAAAAAATAATGAAAAAAAATATATAAAAAAATTATTTTCTATAACATGAGAAATATTAATCTCTATATAAAA